ACTTGACTGATCTACATCACGTGGTATTTATTCTTAGTCATCTTTCAGTTTAATACAATTTTTAAGATTGACAAAAATGTAATTCGTGATGCAGCTAAGTCAAATTGGTGGAAATTTTTGACAATACCGAATAGATTTTTATGTTCAGCCGACACAAGTTATTCACTTCTTTCAGTCTGTACAGGCCCTAAGTAATTTCGCTCAGAGCTTTCATCCGACGATCTCGTTCGCCAGACATTCCAATGAGTTGTAGTTCTATGTGCACAGGTAAAATCAATATTATTACACTCCTTTGCATGTGTGTGTAGATACCGATAACAGCACATGAAAGTATACAAACGTCCTATAGGTTTTCAACCCTTTTACTTTGCAATTAAGTTGAAAATTTAATACAGGGCTTTGGTGGGAGTTTGGGTGAGTTTGATGTGCATGTGTTTGGCTGAATAAACTCATCGTCTCGGAGTGCATTGTAATGCAAACATTTTGGTAGACCAGCGACGTACGTAGCTGGAAACTACTCTAAATAACTAGACTTACTCTCCGAAGTAGATATATTTACATTGGGAGAGATTGGACGATTTTCCAATAGTTGAAGGAATTCTACGGAATTTGATTATGTTGTAAAAATGTAAGAACCTATAGCTTCATGGTTTATTTTAGGTATCTTCAGATAAATAATGTTGTAAATATAATGAGGAAAATATCAAGTTAAGATAAGTCTATTAAAATTTTAAAACCCTCGTTGTTTTATTAAATTTTTAAAATAAATACCAACATAATTTTACGCTCATTTTGCTGCTTATATAACCCATTCCCAGTGGATTTTCTACTTAAAAATTGAAAAAAGGATTTCATTAAAATAACGTTACAACAATTCATAAAGGAGGAAATAATATAAGGACAACAAAAATCGTACTTTAAAGAAATCTTAAACAACAAGATTCCTTTAAATATTTAAACTCGTTTTCTTGAATAAACTTTAGACGGAAGTGTTTTAAGGAAAACTGAAAAAGTAAAGGACAATGTTCAGTATACAAATTGCATATTTTGGCGTGCCAAGCTGATCCACGTAGTCCTTCCTGTCGTTAGATTTTTAACTTTAATATTTTGACGTAAGGTCGAAAATACAATGAAAAAATGTAATAGGCTGGAGTAGCTTGACCTGCAGCTGGCATCTGTACTAACGCCCTATTTGCCAACCATGATAATTGTGCAGGAAATGAGCTTAGGAGCAAAGAAATAAGGGAAGCATGAGATTTAGACGTTTTACATTTCTCTTCCTGTTTGAGTTTCCTATTTGTAAAGTTTTGTACTCTTGTGAACGCTTTAGACCATTTGCAGCTAAGGTTTAACAAGAGACAGCTTAACATAATAAGTGTACTTCAGTTTAAAGGAACCGTAAACCATTGTGTTTTTTAAAAGTTTCCAATTCGTTTCACCATTTTGTGTAAGTTTTTCCTCTAAGTTATTTTGCACTAGCTTTTACCCGCGGATTCGCTCGCGATACAAAATGATAAAAAGCCAATGTGACATATACCAATACACACAGCGCCATCTATACCAATACTTTTGTATTACCTCGGGAATATCAAATTTTTCCCTATTATTTAATCCGGACTTCTAACATTACGTCTGCAAAAATTCAAAGCCATCGGTTTAGTAGTTACGGCGTGAAAGCGGAACAAACAAACAAACTCACTTTCCGATTTATAATATTAGTAAGGATATATAATAAGGATTTTTAACCGACTTCAAAAAAAAGAGGTTCTCATATTTACCTTTAAGTATCTATGCATGTATATTTGTGCGCGATTATCTCGCGGTTGGATGAACCAATTTTGATGAGGTTTTTAGAAAAGTGTCTGTTAGGTGTGTGAAAAGTGTCTGTAGTGTGTTTTGTAAGTGTACTTAGGGGAAAGATTTTAGTACATTATTAATTAACTAACAAAAAAGAGGGGATTGAAGTAAGTTTTTTTAAACGCAGTTTATAAAATATATATTATGTGATGTTTATATACTTAGATATATACTTTTATTCCAAAACAACACTATTAAAATGAATATTTTAGTTTATAAATTTGTAAATAGTGTTGCAATTGCCTTATTGGCCGAGTGGTCGCAAGTACGACTGCTGGGAAATGGGTGTCGGGTTCGATTCCCAGGTCGGGCAAAGTATTACAGGGTTTTCTAAAAAAATCTCAGTAATAGCCCGGAGCCTGGAAATATGCCTGGTATATGGCAATAGGCTCACTCCCTATTACATGGGACCCGTAACATAAATAGTGAAAAGCGGGTGTTACATTGAACAGTAGCATTGAGTGCCGTAATGAGGACCTCTGCCTATCCCTTCGGGGATAAAAGGCGTGATGTTATCTTATGTTAGTATTCCAAATATCACACTTGGAACTTTATGAACGTTCATAGACCCTAGAGTCTAGCAGTAACTAGTCATATTAAGTCTTCTACGAGTAACTAACATAACCTTACTATTTCGAAGTTAGAACTACAACTAATTGCGTTTGCGCCATTGTTTTGAAAGTTGCTGAAGTATAGCAAACTATTGCTTGTGTTGGAAGGTTAAATGCACTATTCTCAAATATGAGAGTAGTACTAGTTACTTCATAATAATATCTTGGCCAATAAGCAAGGATCTTCTCATTGTTCGAGTTAGAAAACGTAACGTTAAATATTGATCCCAATTACAAATTTTTAGACTACGTGTCTCTAATTTAGTAATCGAGACCCTTAATAATAGCCGATCATCTAAAACATATTGATTATGTACATACATTCATTTATAAAAGCAATAGGTTAGACACGAAGACGTTTTGTGTAAAAATTCATATCATGAAAGATATTTAAACATGAATATCTAAATATGAAAGATATTTATGTTTGAATATCTTTATTTATGTTTAAATTACATTTAAAAAAGCCAACGTCGACGTCCTTTTTTTGTAATCGATTAATATACCAACAAATTCTCCTAAACGTGACTATAATTTTTTTCTTAAAAAAAAAATAAGTGAGTACCTAATTGTCACTCGCTTGTACAATCAATGATTTAATAAAAAATACCTAATATTTAAATTCCAAGGCGTCTTCAAAATACAAAATAGGTCGATATTTTAATAAGACTTCCTTTACAGACAGCCATATAAAAGTGTCCGATGCAGTGTTTATTAATTTATCGATTAATTTCCTCGGCTGCGCTAACCATGACTGCGTTTCAATACATTATACCGCATTATTCTAACGAGAATGAAAATGTTAATTACATTATTACGTAGTTCTCTCCCGACGGCTTCACGAGATAATGTAGATTTAGATGCACTGTCTGCGTGTTCAACCAGTAACAATTACGTACATTGTTATGTCAGTTATGGCCGCTCCCGACCTACAATTACATACCTAATACGTTTAAACACATCACGTTTCTATTCTCCCAAGACTAAGCAGAAATGGAACACCTCTTGTATTATTCCACAAGGCGGATATTACCGGAATTGCTTTATTTCATTACAATAACAGTTTTATGTAGCTCGGAGATATTTTTCTAGAGTAAATGCCCAAGTTTGTACAGGAAATCTCATCTTATAAAAAGTCTTAGTGAAAATTCGATAGAATTGTGAGTGGTGTAACAATGTTACAAACTTTTAAAGGAAGAAAGGGAAGTTTTGTTCAATTATAAAGGTGTTCAACTTGTTCAGGTTTGTCACGTGGAAGTATACAAGGGTGCCGAAGCAATTTTCCAATGGCATTATGTGTTTAACACTGTTTGTTCGTTACGTCGATTTTCTGGCCTTTTCCTATCAACACTGGTTTTGAGTCAATAACACGGAAAACTATTTGCTTTACACGAACCATTGGCTTGTAACATAAGTCACTTATATTGTATTTGGAACTGTGCTTGGTTTTCGGTATTATCAGTGATATAATATAATAAACCGAGGTTTTTTTCTGATGATTGGAAAATAATCAGGCATTTTGAAATCTCATAGCAAAGGTACTTAATCCGGACTTATGTTCATTCAGACTTTACTTACAAGATAAGTTAGTTCAAAAGTAGATCTAGAAACACAGCTACATGTTATACGAGTCGCAACGTCTAGGTACCCTCTAAAGGTCAAAAGACTACTCGAATCTAGAGACGATCAATTCATTAATGCACTGAACCGTGGCTGTACCGTAATGTCGGCTGCGCTCTGAAATAATAATAGGGAGGGTTTAAGCTATACCCAACAGCACTTAGGTAAACAATATGTAACGTACCTCCATGATCTAAAATGTAATAAGGTTTTTAATATAAAGAGCGCTAAGCGTTTTACTGTGGAGAAAATGGGGAAAATATGTATGAGAGAAATTATAGAGATATCACGTTCTTTTTGAATTACTGTACGGTTGGCGCGGTGGCTGGGCTGCCATGCAACGTGTCGCCGGTTCGATACTCGAACGGAACAACTCTTGGTGTGATCCATCAATTGTTGTTCCGGGGTGTCATGTGTGTGTGAAATTGTATATTTGGAAACGAACACACAGGAGAAAATTCTAGTGTGAACCTAATTTTAAAAAAATATTAGATACTTGGTAATGTTATTAGTCTGAAGACCCTAATTATCACTATTTAAAGACTAAAATAGCATGGTAGCTAGTCTAGTCTAATACATTCAGCATGGGTGGGTGTTCATTTATATGTTCTGTGGTATTACCACCACCTCATCAAAGTTAATAAGCACATACACTATTATATTACGGCAATCCAATCAATCCTGTGTTTTAAGGCAAAGCATTTTCATAGATACCTACTCTGCTTACTTTCATAGATACATTTGAGATACCGCTGCTGTTCATTGTCAGACTTTTATAACCTAGATAGAATCTTATTACAACGGAATAGAAACTGTTTTGTTTTAATGTGCGTGTTAAAATCTAACTTTTAGTTATATTTTTACTTTAACTATTTTAGTACTAATGCAACATTAGGTATGAGTATGACTTACGTGTGCCATCGAAGCGAGTGGCGATGGTATCGAGGAAGGTGTTCTGGGGCGCGAGCAGCCCCTTGCGCACGGGCATCCCCCCGCACCGCGCACCCCGCGCTCACCCCCCTCCACCTGCAACAATCAAAAAAGACAATATTAAAATCTTTATACACAAGTTTTTTAGTTTATAAGTTGCTTTTCTGATTAATTTTATTGTGGAATTTTAAACAGTTTGATTAGTCTTACATTAAATTTCAAACGTACCGAAGATTCCAGTAGGTCTCAAAAGTAATTAAACAAAACCTAGGTATTCTTCAAAAGTTAATATTCTAAATCCCGTCTAAAACTTTCTTAGTCAAATCCAAAGATTTTAATGCATAATGTTCTTATAACGAGATTGAGCCTTAATAATTTAAATTATTTCCGTTCTTATTTAGTTCCGTACTTAATACAATAATTTATCTTCTACATTTCGTCGACTTTAGCAGTTTCAGAGTTCAAGATTGTCGAAATATTGAGTTCTGTAACTTTACTCCAGTATCGGCCTTTAAGTTAGAAAAAATTGTTCGCCAAACTCCTTAATAAAGTTTTGATTGAAATTGTTTCGATTAACTACCACCATCGACCAATTAATAACAACATTCAGATTTATACTGTTCAAATACTCGATTATAATGATTAAAAGATTGAGGAAATAGGAAATAAAGCGAATATAGAGGTAGGATATTGACAAGATCAAAAAGTCTCACAATTTTTATAAAAGAAACCAATAGCTACTTAGTACAGTAAAGCACACAGACATATAGGAAATTAGCATCTAGACAAACAACCTCGTCAAAAAAATCTTAAGCCGTAGGATTGCAAAGCGAAAATGTAATTAAAAGTAGCAGACTTCCGAAGAGAGGTCTCGACTAAAGGATCATTTTTAGTCGTTCATTTGAATAGGTAATGTTTGCTATTGAAGTAGAGATATTGATTTCCACGGTCCGTGGTCCAATGCGTAGGTACTCTGCAGGTTATAAAGCGGGCCACTATATAAAAGCTATTTGTATCCAGTCGACCAATGGCGAAGAGATTTTTCATGTCTTGTATTTTACTCGCACCATTTTCCACAGTTGCTGCTCCGCAGATTGATGATTCCGAGGTTTTTGGCCATTTACTATTCACAAAGAGAACGTTGTCTGTTAATGTTGTGGGCTTATGTTAAAGGTATCTTTAAAAGCTATTCACAAATATTTTCCATATAATGCTGGCGTCGTTTTACTTCTAACGCAGAATTTATTTACTTTCTTAAATTGTAAGTACGTTCAAACAGATCTTCTCGTAATGACAGGGTACAAGTTACGTCGATCGGCTGAAGGACTGTAATTACGAGAGTTAGCTTTTGTTAAAAATGCACAATTGTACCTTTTTCGTTCGTACTTAGCCTCGACTCAAAGTATTCATTAAAGGCGAATTTCAAAAAGCTACAGAACAAAAGCTTAATGAGAACAATCACCCTCTCTCTCTCGGATTGAGATCCGACGAAATTTCAACGTGTATAAAGCAATTTTGTCATATCCCAGCGATCGTAGACGTGTATTATGTAAATTAGGGTCAAATTAATTTTGTCATTTACTCTCAGGGAGGCATTAATTATTGTCTAATGGGAGTGTTAGGCATAAATAACACAGATCCCAGTAACGACTCGTATTTAAGTACCTTTAGTACTATGTCGGTGAATTCAAAAGGAACGAAATTTTGTGGACTTTACTGTTCTTTTAAAGGGGAAAAGCCACCAATTTTCGTTTTCAAGAATCAGAAAAACAAACAATCAGCTCGACGTAAGTCAAAAAGTAACCGTACTCTTACTAATGAGTACGCGCCCGCCGTTTGCGGAAAGCTCTGCGAAAGATGGCGCAGGGGAAACTAATATCTGTCGAATAAAGGCGACGCGACGCCAGAGCCCTGTACCGACGTAAGGCGATACAGACGAATAATTCCTTTTAAAATAGAATAACAGTAAAGTTTTTGTAGAACCACAGCAATCTCAAAAGCGGGGCATGGGCCTAAACAAACAACTGTCACTGTCCGTAACGCGTTGACACTTCCCGATGTCACATTGACACATCGCCTAATTCGGCCCAAACTTATCCGGTCTTTAATTGATGGATTCCGCACACAAATACCTACCCCCACAGTGTATGTGAGTTGTGTAAATAAACATTACAGAGTAATAACTGGTATTTACACGCGTAACACAAATAAATGATGCCAATCTACATCGTTGTGTTTAGTTTGTAAATCTGCTGACTAAATGGCTGTATTATAATATCAACGAAGAAGTGCCCCGTGACCCCTAAATTTGTAATCGGCTAACATCCAATAGACCTATAAATGAGTTTAAAACGGCCTTCGTATATGGAGCGTGAATATTGCTATTTATTTTTGGAGAGCGAAGAATACTTTTATACAAAGCTCGTCAGTTTTGTTCAATTTTCTATAGCATTTTACTTCAAATGGACATGGATTGTCTTATATTTTCTTACGCTTGGTAGCCGTGAGCCATAGGGTTGGGCATTTCCTTCCTTCTGAGTAAGCATAAATCAGAATGGAATCCGATATAAAATTGTCCTTTCCGCAATTTTCATGGTGAAAATGCGCCAAATATGATGTTGGTGCTATGGATTGTTAGAACTGTATTTGTTAGCATCTTTGTTCAAGAGAAAAATGAAGCTTTTAAAATAAAGTGGCTGTTGGCTACACCCCACCGCCCGCTGCGCCGGTAACGAAGACCTATTGTTAACAAATAAGACCAAAGATTAAATTCCCAATAACGATGCAATTATTTATTCCCTTCTTTAGATATTCACTCTTTTTTGCTTTATATTAAGACAATTGAATGTAAAGAAAGGATTTATTTCAGGTAGCACTACATCATATCTTTCCCGACTTAGCATAATTCTTGTTTACAATAATTTACTTACGCTCATTTCTTAAGAGCTTCCTGATATTTCTTAAGACAACAAAACATTCATAAATGATAAAGGAAGACAGCTGGATAAACATTCATTTTGCTATAAAACGAAGTAATTGCTTTGATTCAAGGATTTATACAGTGAAATTGATTTTCTTGGGCAGGGATGTTTTATGAATATCTCTCTAATTGCTTGTCCCAGCTCGACGCCTGATATTTCGCCTAATTTTATTAGTGTCTGAAAAAGTCTTATAATGTACTGATTCTTAGATATTGATACTGTCCTGCTCACGGCATAATTAACGGCGTGGCTTAGTCTTTTATTTTAAGTATAAGGTATTAATTTAATGAGCTTAACATTTCATATTATTTTGTTATTACTGATACTTTAACGTTCCCAACTAGAGCAGAGTATTGTTAAAATAAGTTTCCTTTATAAGCTTTTATAACTCAAACTTCTTCCCAAACTTACAGACGGAAACACGACACATGTTAACATTAATAACATCTGTTTACGAATCTGTCAAACATGCGACGCAGGAAGAAAGCTAGCCGTACTTAAATAACATTAATATGGAAACTTATGACATAAATCGGATTTAAGTCCATGAAACCATTCACGATTCATGGACATCCATTCAGTGAATATGGTAAGTACATGAATTTTATTACATTGAAGAAAGATATAGTAGGTAAAAATTGTGTAAAAATTGTGTGAAAGAAAGATATAATAGGTAAAAACGGTGACTGCCTCGTTGGCCAAGTGGTCGTAAGTGCGACTGCCGGGCAAGGGGTCTCGGGTTCGATTCCCGGGTCGGGCAAAGTATTACTGGGTTTTATAAATATCCTCAGTATTAGCACGGAGTCTGGAATTGTGCCCGGTATATGGCAATAGGCTCACCCCCTATTACATGGGACTCATAACGTAAATAGTGAAAAATAGGTGTTACATTGTACAGTGGTATAACGTGCCGTACGTATATTATGTTATAATAGGTAAAAAGTTTTGCAGTTGCACATTGAATTATAAGAATTTTGTTAATAATAACACACACTTCTTTGCCTACTAATCACATGACCCTTTCCAAAAAAATGGCTTCTCATGAATAAGGACCCTAGTGTGACTTGTAATTAGTAGAGCTTCAAATAAAATACCATGGCTATTCTTATTACACAAAAACATGTTTCTTTATTGTGATTGATATATTTCGTTATACCTACATATTTCCAGAAATTTGGTCGTAATTGGTAAAAGCTGCGTTGCTGTTCTCATTAACCATCAGTAAATCTTATATGTCTAATTAAAGCACCATTTAAGGTGACCCATAAAAGTTAGTGAGCGCGTTAGAATACTGCTGCAGTCTTCCTACTTCACCATAAACTTTTTATGTTTCATAAATATTGTGGCAGTAAATATGAATTAATGGTTTTCTGAGGTTGTATTATGCCCTTTCGCCTTCCATATTCTTTTGGTCAACGTAAACAAGATAATATGTTGGGTTTGTTGGACGAATTTAAGTCTGCAGATAAGTCGTTTACAGTGTCTGCTAAAATTTATTATTGTTGTTAAATTGGAGCATTTTGGGATTTATAGCATTCTGGCCTCGATGGTCCTGTGGTCGGAAATTGTCGGCCTCTTGGGATGTTTAGCTCTAGGGTTGTACGTAAATGGAAAACACCTAACTTGGAACTAATATTGACTGGATATGAACATTGAACTTCAAAACTATCCTTGTCCTTTCTTTCACGTCAAATTTGTATATTGTATAGAAAAGTATTTATCTAATAACATATACTTAAAACGACACTTGAACACTGATTGTATTTTACAACATGCGTCAGTGAAATGCTTCATAATACCGTAATTAAATTGAAGTACATACTTCGTTGCCTATCAGATATTACTTTCATTAATTATAATGATATTGTTACATACCTTTATGGGCGAAAATTAACGTAAAACGATTTATTATTTTAAATTCAGTAATGTGAACAGTTTCAAGTTATACCACCGTTGTTCAGATATTTATGTTAGTTTAAAACATGGTTTTTCTTGCTTATTCGTCTTTGTAGAAATGTACGCTTTGAAACTAATGAACAGTTACATTAATTCACGAAATGCTTCTGACTTTCAAATGGCATGTTAGTGGAAGTACTAGGGAATAATAATGTACTA